GGGATTTGGGCCCGAAAATATTGTATTCAATGCAGGAATAAACGAAATAAAATCATCTTTTTGTACTAGATTATCTCACTATTTTAGCATATATTAAAACAACGACTCAACTCAGTGTCGGTGGGTAGCAGTGGATATTTACCTCGCTGCCTTACAGCTCAGTAGATATCCACCACTAGCCATCTCTCCTTTTATAATCATTTTTTTAATCATTGGATTTCGGGAGAATGAGCTAAACAACTGGTAAAAGTTATAATTGATATACCGGAGCAAAACCAGACCAGTCATTTCTTTGTTGGGTAGTCGGATTTACAACAGCAAAAGTAGAGTAAATAAAAATTAATCAGCATAATATTCTCCTCATAGCTTAAAGCCACATGTCAGGCCAATTGCTTATTAATATTAAATTCTATATGATTTTAATGCTAAAAAAATTCTATCTTTTTTTTTCGCAGATAAATCCAACCTCGTTCTCACGGTCACGTTCCCTCCATCCCTTTCGGGCTGAATTTATGATGGGCTGTACAAGCTCAGTACAATCCAAGAACCGAGTGGTTCATCCTTTCATATCCAGCTTGGCAAACAAAAAAGTTTCAGTATCAGTTTCTGATGAGAGTAAAATCATTCTGAGAGAATCATGGACACTTTTGGACCAAAAGAGAGCCGCTGCAGGGAAGAAAGTGTTTGCAAAGTACGGTAAAAACATTTAAAATGTTGTTTCAAGCTTGTGAATGTGAAGTTCTTTGTGGCGGAAACTCAAGTTGTTAGTCATCAGTGGAGTCCGCTGCCACTTTCTACAACCACTTTGTTCGCGTGAGATCTGGGGCGAGGGGGGGGCAAGTCTTTCCCGATGACTTCAGGACATATCATGGTGTCCAGGGTTGACCGAGCGAAGAACGCTTACGAATGGTGTTACATGTCATCTGCAACATCAAAACGATGATAAAGGCTCGAGTTGATAAGTGCAAAGAATAAAAGAAAACTAGTTGTTTTCCTAAAATTCTTTGGAGAACTATTCTCGTTGCTTTGATGTCATCAAATAAAATATATGTCCCGAGAAAAAAAAAAACTCAGTTGGACGAAAAGAATTCGATCCCATGATATTACGCCCCCTCCTAGTTCAGAGACCTGCCTCAATGCATCTGACAGCCAATAATAACAAAGGAGGCAATGAGAACTTGACATCAAAAGTGAAGCAAATTTCTTGAAAAGAGAAAAAACTCGGGCAACTAAGTCGTGGTTTTCGCTTTGTTATCTATTTGGTTGAGAAATTTGCACGAGTATTCTAGATCAATCACAGTGGCACGGTCTGTGATTGGTCTACAAAACTCGCGCCATCCTCTAAACCAATCAGACGCAAAACGAAAATAAGTCGTTACTTGGCCGCCCGCGTTTTCCCGCGCTTTCACACGTTTTTGATGGTTTTGCAGGTTTTTACTTTGATTGCTCAATGGCTGACGATGATTTAAACCGTAGGCGCGTAGAATATAGCTCAATTGGTTAGAGCGCCGGATTGTGTTGTGGGGGAGGTCGAGGGCTCGAGCCCCGGCCAGAGCAATACTCATGGTCTTAAAATAACTGAGGAGAATTTGTTACCTTTCTATAATATCAAGAAATGGATAGATATTCTAGTCTTCTCGGATAAGGACGAATAAACCGTAGGCCCCGTCTCCTGCAGGGTTAGGGGTAGGAGATGTTAATTTCCCACGCACGAGACTACTGTGTGGTGGATGTCCTCCCCTCGGGTGGGATAGGTGGGTGTTGGCCCTGAAAACGCCCTTATGGGGAGTGGTCAATTAACTTATGTAACCAATGTTACCTAAACCCTTGTTATCATTGGCCGATGATGATGTAAAGCTTTGTTATCACTGGCCGTTGTGAACACTTTTATCAGTTTTTCTCGACATTTTATTAAAAACTGTTCTCGGAACATATGAAAAACCTAATTCAGTGACAAAACAGATCTGTTTTTTCCCTGCAGGCTCCTGGAACTAAATCCAAACCTCCAAGATGCATTTCCATCTTTTCGAGGCGTGTCTCTGGACGAACTTATGAATTCTCGCTCATTGTTTCTACACTCTAAGCGTTTAATGGCGGTAGTCGAGGAAGCTGTTTCATCTCTAGATGATGCCAAAGAGCTGATTGAAGATCTTACGAACCTTGGGGAAAGACATTTAGCGATGTCTATCACCGAGAAACACTTAAAGGTAAGGGATCTTATATACCTTAAAGGTACCCTTTATTTTGTTGTACAACATGATGGTTCCTATTATCAGATAAAATTATTGTCTGACTATTAAAACGAATGAATCTGAAACTGAACACTTACGGGTAAGAATGATATCTTGTACTTCTCAGAGGTATTCAAGAAAAATGCAAGATGAATAAAGAGTTCTCTGAAAACTATTCTAAGATCTCCTTGAAATAGCAGTTCTAAGTTGTAAGCGGTTAAGGGCTGGTGTTTGACCTTACAAACAAAAGGAAAGCTACTGAGCAGTGATTTCATATTACGTTATTTGTCATATTGTGGCAGTTCGAATTTTTAAGTCTTTCTATGTAACCCTGGTGTGTAACCATTTAAATGAAAACTACAAGATACTATGGCTTATGCGCCGATCAGTTCGAAGCTTCAACATACCCTCCGAGTAACCCACGACATTTGACTGTCGTCCATGCCGGGGGGGGTGGGAATTTTGAAACTTGCCTGGCGGGGGTGGGGAAGTTTGAACTCGAAGTGTCAAGTCTTTCCAGTGGAATAAAAGTAGTTCACTTTCAAGTGCGAATGGCACAGAAAGAAAGGTCTACAAGGTCAAGGTTTTAAATTTTGGACGATGCGTTGAAAATCACGATCGCTTATTTTGCCTATTACAATAAAATGGATGAGGTATTTGAACTATTCCTGAGGGGCTGTCTGAAGGGATGTTGAAACTTCAAATTGATCGGCGTATTGTGGTATGATTTAAAATGCTGTACATGGTGGAAATCCTGAACATCAAATGGTTCGACAGAATCTCCAACGAGCAGGTCCTGCAACAAACCAAGATGCCAAGCATAGACTCCTTGCTAACAAAGGCACAGCTCAGATAGACAGACACATTGCGCGCATGGAGGACACCAGGTTGCCTAAACAGATATTTTACAGTGAGCTAAGTGAGGGCCAACGGCCAAGAGGCAGACCCCGTCTACGTTACAAGGACACCCTGAAAAGGTCACTTAAGAAATGCAACATATCAGTGGACCAGTGGGAGAACATGGCCAACGATCGATCTGCTTGGCCTACGGCCACTCACAAGGCTGTGGAATCATTTGAACACGAGAGAAGAAGCAGGCAGGTGGCAAAGAGAGCGGCAAGGAAGGCCAGATCAGAACGCACACAGCATTCTACCGCTTGCCCCGACTGTGGCCGCTCGTGCGCCTCCCAATTCGGCCTCAGATCCCATAGGCGCACACACCTACGCTAGGATGGACTTCATCGAGTACGATGGTCGACCATATATATATATATATATATATTTATTAAAAACTGGATCATTGGATAATGCAATTCCAGACTTTTAATTGGCTTAGCCATTATGGTATATGAGCCAATATACCATAATCTACAAATATGGTAAGCGTACGCGTCAGCTTAAAATCAAAAGGGAGCTAAAAACTCCGGTTTCTTCTTACAAAATAATTATTTCTTGGGGCGTTTTTAATAAAACAATTATTCCACTCGCACTTGTTGGATATGAGATGATTATAGCCAACGAGGCGCTACGCGCCTC